GGAAAGCAAAGAATTGATTGAAAACCTTGGAAAGTCACTTGAAGACGTTGACCGTTCTTATCAAAGTGTAAGTTTTTTGAATATTTTTCGTTCTTTTACTTTATTATCTCCTTTAAGGTAGGCGCAGGAGGGAAAGAGCTTGCAGCTGATGCAGATTCTTTGCTGTCCATGGCAAGTGTTCTACTGGAACAGATGAAGTCGTTCCGCCGTTCGAACTCGGAAAGGATCGTCACAGCTAAATCACTGGCTGATGCATTGGTTAGTTTCTCCATTCCGCTTCATTTGTTCATTTGACCAATTCCTAACAAATATAAAAAAACGTAATTAAAAAGATTGAACTGCCACATTTTATGCTGTCATTTTTCACTGCCGCTATCTAAGTAGCAGAGTTACCTCTGATTTTCTCCTATCTCCTGAGTTTTTGTGCATGGATCTTTAGCTGTTTTAGCTGACATTGCTAATTTCGATTCTGAATTTTTCAAGCTTCACACGTTTATGGAAGTTTGTCGCATTTTGCTCTATTTTTGCCCTTTTGTTCACTTAATAGATTTCCACTACGCCTTTTTTTTGAGCTTCCTGCTTAAGCCAGTAAGCATGCACGACTGACACTTCATTCCTCCTTTGCGAACAATTTCTTTATTTCTCACCAGCTCACGACTGAAATGCGGAAGGGAAACAACTTATGACGCGGGCACAACAAATTTGATTGATATTTGATATGGAGTGTGCGTGTTCGTCGCCTACGCTTAGGAAATCCATCTCTTGTACTTGACCTTAGCATTCATTAGCCACTCACTCAATCCCTATCTTTTATAGGGTCTCCTGGCCGACCGGCTTCTATGGATTGAGCGACATTTTTAACCGTTCGGGTGCTATCAGAGTTCAACGATGTGCATTGTTTCACGGGCACTGACCGACTGACGACGTTGCTGGCCCATATTGACAATGCAGGACAGATTCGTTCAGAGCCGCGTAAGCGGTAACCATCGTTGATGCAGCGGTGAGGTGTTGTCAACACGTGGGCAGCAACGCCGCCGGACGGTTGGTCGGTAGGTGAAAAATACACGTCGTTGAACTCTGAAAGCAGCCATTGACGACTGTGTAGCCTGCCAACGGGCCACACCATACCGCTCTCCTGGGATCGCGTGGCACTTAGGAATGCCGTAGCCTATCCCCTTCCATGCTGTCGCCACCTTTAACAGGGCTACACCTGCACGAGCTGCCTTCACTTTTCATCGAGCCAGTTCTCTGTCAAGTTGTCGACATCATTCAACAAGCCGCCCCCAACGACAACAAGCTGTCGACGCCTAGAATGTGGACTCGACCAGAATTCACAAAACCAAATTCCAAAATAGGCCGTTATTTTACATGCTGCTCAACGGGGGCGGGGTCGCTGACTTCGCCGTCGTCCCTCCTTTAAATTGTAACCATCCGATCCCCCGCTATGGGGCCTGGTCATTTGATTTTGCGAGGGAGACGCGCTTCTGGCTGACTGCTCACCACAACCTTCTTCCCTTACGTTCATCGAAACAACCGCTGTCCCATCTCCTGCTCCATCCAATAAACATACGTCAGACCACGTCTTGTTTCACTTTACAAAAGGGTAATAAAGCCAGTTCCTGCACCAACCCTGGATAAGCTGTCAAATGTAGCAGCAGGGACCCAGACGCCCAGCAGTGATACATGTGGGTCCCTTTTTTATACGATTAGATGGCAGTCCTTTTTAGTGAGAAGTACAAGCCAAGGCAAAGTATACCTGTGATTAAGCATTGAATAAAAAATATTCATTGGAAGGTTATTCTCCCAACACGTCAGCATATTGAGTGATTCTGTTGCAACTCTCGAGCATTTAGATTCTGTATGTCAGTTCAATGTCAACCGATGCGGGGCTCTGTGTCGGTGAAGACAATCCATTGCTTTGCGAAGCAGAAGGTCACCACCTACCTAGTTCGCCTTCAAGTTTCAACGAAACACAAAATTCACGTAACTGCAACAGAGTGTCAAGTGCACCAAAGGTGTGGTTCGGATTTCCAACAACTTTTCGGCATTCCTATCTCCTTCCGTTCTTTATTTTTTTTCCTTTTTCTAGATAAGTTCGGATCAGTGGGCATGGCTTGGTCGTCAAAGTCTCGGAACATTGTCCTATGATGTGTCTTTCAAGTACCAATCGTTGTAAGTTAAGTTTAGCTAGTTTGTAAATGTCTTAGATAAAGAACACAACAAGA